GAAGCACCTCCCCACCACCTCCACACCGAGCCGTCCGAAGCACATCCCCACCACCTCCCCACCGAGCCGGCACTCCCCACCACATCGCCGTCGAGCCTACCGAAGCACCTCCCACACCACCTCCCCACCAAGCCGGCCGAAGCACCTCCCCACCAAGCCTAGCGAAGCACCTCGCCACCACCTCCCCACCGACCTGGCCGAAGCACCTCCCCACCACCTCCCGACCTAGCCTACCGAAGCACCTCCCCACCGAACCTACCAAAGCACCTCCCCACCAGCTCCCCACCGAGCCGGCGGAAGCACATCCCCACCACTTCCCCACCTAGACGGGCGAAACACCTCCCCACCACCTCTCCACCGACCCGGCCGAAGCGCCTCCCCACCAAGCGGTCCGAAGCACCTCCCCACCACCTCCCCACCGAGCCTGCTGAAACAACTCCCCATCACCTCTCCACCGAGCCGGCGGAAGCACATCCCCACCACCTCTCCACCGAGCCGTCGGAAGCACATCCCCACCACCTCCCCACCGAGCCGACCGTAGCACCTCCCCACCGCGCCTACCGAAGCACCTCCCCACCTCCTCCTTACCGACCTGGCCGAAGAACCTCACCACCACCTCCCCACCGAGCCGGACGAAGCACCTCCCCACCGACCCTACCGAAGCACCTCCACACCACCTCCCCACCGACCTGGCCGAAGCACCTCCCCACCACCTCTCCACCGAGCTGGTCGAAGCACCTACCCACCGAGCCAACCGAACCACCTCCCCACCACATCCCCACCGACCCAGCCGAAGCACCTCCCCACCACTTCCCCAACGAGCCGGCCGAAGCACCTCCCCACCATCTCCCCACCGAGCCGGCTGAAGCACCTCCCCATCACCTCCCCACCGAGCCAGCCGAGGCACCTCCCCACCACCTCCCCACCGAGCCAGCCGAAGCACCTCCCCACCGAGCCTACCGAAGCACCTGGCCATCACCTCCCCACCGACCTGGCCGAAGCACCTCCCCACCACCTCTCCACCGCCGAAGCACCTCCCCCCCGACCTACCAAAGCACCTCGCGACCACCTCCCCATCGAGCCACCCGAAGCACCTTCCAACCACTTCCCCACCGAGCCGATCGAACCACCTCCCCACCACCTCCCCACCGAGCCGGCTGAAGCACCTCCCCACCACCTGCCCACCGAGCTGGCCTAAGCACCTCCCCACGACCTCTCCACCGACCCGTCTGAAGCA